CGATGCGCAAAAGTACACAGAGGCTCAATTTACGTGCGGGATTATTGCGCATGTATGCATAGACGCGCGAGATGATCAACAAAGTTGGAGTTTTAAATCTCGGAGTGTGGGCGATGGAAGGGGCCGAAAGTTTCAACTGCCACCAGCCGGGGAAACTCCTTTTCTCAAGGAGAATGCAAAAAAGGTCCCCTCGAGGGAGGGAGGCCGAGTTGCCGACGATGATATAAAAGTTGTAATCTCCTCGTAAAAATGAAAGTACGTTTTCACTTTCGAAACATGAAATTTCACTTGACTGAGGTGTACGACGAACATATATTTGCCAACGATGAAAATGCAATTTTGTTACGACGTTGAGTGTTTTTTTTTTTTTTTGTGTTGATACTGCTCTGAGTAATGTGTAAGACAGTAGAAAGGATATACGGTTTGGTTCACCGATGAACCAGACTATTTGCCCTGTACTTAAAGCTTTGTTGAAAAATATAATTATGAGAGTAGATAAATAAATGCCCATTCTCGCAGTTTTCAACCACCGGTCCTTTTCAGGGCGACTGAGCCAGGACCGGCAAGCTCAGTATTTTTAAAACAAATACGACAATTTTTTTAGCAAATGAACTAACATCAGGAGGGGTAGAGAACTTTTAAGCTTTCCTTTGGACAAAATTAAGAATTTACTGGTGCGTAACCCCAAGGTAGACAAAATTAATAAGAAAATTGAATCTTCTCTCGTTAATTTTCTGTACAACACGGGGTTATGCAACAACCCCTCGTGAAAGTAACGATTTTCCACAGTTGAGACCGTAGCTTCTCGAGATATGGTTGAATTGTCAACCATAAACCGGAAGTCCTATCCTCCTCATTTAAAAAACAGATCCTCGTTCTGACATGCAGCAATCACTCACAACACCATATCAACACCCAACAGTTCGTCCAACCCTCAACACGAACAAATTCAAACTTTTTCTTACTCGCATCTCATGATCTTTGTAATAAGCTTAAACAGAGATGAAAAAAAAGGGGGGGAAAGAAAAAATAAATCTCCGACCCCTCAGCTGTTATCTCCCTTTCTTCGAGTCAATTTTGTGTACGCAACGGTGCTGTCTGGCAACCCACGTGATATATACCTATACACACGCGGTGTCCACGACAGCCCGACCACACGCACCCCTGTGTAGTCCACGACCCTCCCTTCGGTCGTTATTATCAGACTATGAACGACGAAACCGAGAGCACGCAATGGGAGGGTGAAGGGGGTCGACGTCAACTGTCAAACGCACAGCGCATGTAGGTAATACACACCCGCCCCGTCACATCCCACATCCATTTATTTATATACATGTATACGCGAGCGTTTCTCCGTCCATTAGACGAGTGTTAATTCATATAATAAAGACAGCTGCTGAATTTCACATGGATGGGGACTATAGCTGCGGTTGCGGACCATCGTGGGCTGTATCCGAATTCCCTACGTATATATATATGTGTGTGTTTACGGGCTGGCACGCCGGTAATGCTGATAATGACAGTGCCGACCGCGGCGTGGGAATGGGGTAATCAGTTGCGGTCCACGGTGGCACTTCCGAGGGTATTCGTTCATTGATTTCGCGGGAATCTGTTTGCTTTGATGCACTCGCGATCTGCGATTTCGAACCCACGAACGCGGAGGTGAAAGCGAGCCTCGTAAAATAAATACTCCCAAAATCACTTCCACGCGCAAACGATCATTTCACTGGGGTGGGCGGTGAAATGTTTGTGCAGGTTGTGCGGGCATAGTTTTTTTTTTTTTTTTTTTTTTTTTTTTTTGTCAAACTCCCCCGTTAAATTTCAAGCCGACGAGCTGTTCAGTAACGCGATGGCACTTGGAAAATGTATCGCTCCCTCTCTCTTGAAATAATTAAAACAAATTAAAACTCCCGGCACTTGGTCCGCCCTCGTTTCGCTATCTCTTACACCTCACTTACAACACCATAGCAGCGGGAGATACCCGAGAGGGCGAGCCATCATCGGCCGGCGTCGAATTAATTCAAAAAACCGCCCTGGGCCATTTTCCCCTCCCCCCCCCGAGCCTCGTTCGCGGAAGCTTCGAGAGCTTTTATGCAAATCGCGGAGTCGCGCCTTAGGTGTGCCGTACGCAGCCGTGCGTTCGTTATACGAGTGAAATGAACGAGACGAGCGTGCGCGTATCACGTTTATGAAGGAAAAAAAAAAAAAAAAACACCACCGAGGCGTACATGGCCCGTAGGCGCCGGATGATATTAACGGGTTCCGGCGAGCTTTTCTTTTTTCCCCTTGTTTTTTTGTTTCACGCGTTCATATACGTATATAACACATGCGTAAGAGGATACGTGCTTTTTTTTGTTTTATTTGTTTTCGCGAAGAGGGGGGTTTTATTTATCGCGTTCAACGGGGAGAGGACCCGGTAGGCATATTGCTCTTTGCCGCGCGGACTAATTGCCATCCTGTGCACGTATATATATATATGCATGGTGATTCGCGAGTTTGTTTTCCCTTCGATTTTACGTGTTTTGTTCTCCGTTTTGCGGATTAATGTCGCGCTAAATATCCGGAGGGCGTTTTTCTCCCACTCCCGCTTGTTCCCCGTCGAGGGGTGAGCGATTCTTCTGAGCGTTTTTTATCGGTTGTTGTAGTCCGGCAGCTACGCGAACGGGGGGACTGTAGGGGACGAAATTCGATTGGTTTCCCTAAATCAACTGCACGATAAATTTGAGCGCCCGATTTTATTCAAAAAGTCACAGGGGATGTCCACTTACCCCATCTCATCGTAGATAGGCGAGAAAAACGCTCTTCCTGCTGTCTTTATTCACCCTGCGAGCACTTGCAAAAAAAAAAGTGCTTTCGTTAAAACGCGCCTATAGTAGTCGGCACGCTCGCGCGCCGAGAGCGAGAGACGCATTAACGGGCGCTTCCATCCGTGTGGTATACGGCACACACGCAACGAGAGGCATTGTGATGGTATATATAGGCGCGAGCAAAAGTATTGCGCAACAATCGCGTGCGATTACAGAGAGCCGGCGACGAGAGACGGATGCGTGGGAGGAGACAACGGAAAAGAGGAGGCTCTGACTCTATGCCGTTTGTTTCTTTCATTTATGGAAAAATAGAGAGAGAGAGAGGGAGGATGAGGAAATTTCATTTTATTTTGTATATTTCATTCGCCGTTTTTTCTTCCACATTTGCATTTTTATACGCGCACGGTTGCCAAATTACATATACGCGCAACTTTTGGTTTTTTCGTACATATACATTCGACTTTTTCCTATTTAAATGTAAATCCACGCGTGCGCCTCTTCCGAGCTTGTAATAACGCGAAATCCAGACTTGCGTACACGTGCACTCGCTGTAACCAACCCAAGCATATTCCCATCAACCGTGAAAGAAAAAAGTCTTTATGAAAAACCAATCGTTAAGTAAACGTCCAAAGCTCGATTGGGGGGGGGGAAGGAAAATCCATCCGTTGTCGCAAGAGGGAGTCACGAGCCGTAGGAAACGCTGGGCTAGTATTTCTTGCACGGGCCGTTAAACACCGGCCGGCGATGGATTTGCAGTGTACACACAAACGCATATATACTATACCTGTGCTCTTTGAGGGGCCTCCTCGGAATATTTTCCCCCCACTTCCGCTCGTATACGGGGGGACAGATAAGGAAAAAGGAACCAGCTGGTGCGACGAAACGCGCCCAGAGACAGATTTACACCGGCTTACGGCCCTTTCTCTCTCTTTTTTTTTCAAAACTCCGCGTTATGCGGCGATTATTTTTTCGGTGTATATTACCCGGTCACGTATGAATGTTAACTTTATGGCTTTTGATGGTCGAAAAAACAAAAAAATATTGTTTTTTTTTTATTCAGAATTAACAAGTGACAGCTTCATTTCATTACTGCTGTATCAGTGCCTCTCCGGCTAGTTAATCCAAGTTACAGGCTTATGCCGATTTTCCAATCAGCTCAGCGAAATTAATTCCGATGCATCCCGACCTACCGTTACACGCACATCACAGCTAGGGGAAAAAAAAGCTCACCCCCCCCTCCCCAAACCCGTTTTCCGTCCCACTCTGTAATTTCATCGGGCAACAGTTGCAAACTGCCTCCGTATCGTAGCGAGATCGTCTCCACGACTCAACTAACGCCGCGTGCAAAAAGCAGGCATACATATAACACGCGCGGAAAGGAGGCGCGGCTCTCTCTCCCGATCTGTACGAGTGTATATATATATATGGGGTTGCCGCCGGGGCGAAAATAGAGCCTTCGCGTGCGAGAGACGGAAAAGTTGATTCGGGAAGCTGGCGTGGGTTGTCCTTTGATTTATTCACTTGTTTGTATTTTACTTTCCTTCTGCCCCCGTGCTTGCGAGCAAGGACAAGGGATACGCGAGCTTTTTTTTTTTTTTTGGTTTTTTTTTCATTCATACCAAGGGAAAATACAATGACGAGCAGTTTAATTATTGGCCACAATCAAAAGCACGAAAAATAAATGAAAAAAGCATCCCAAACACACAGAGTGTATGAGCGATAGTCACAGAAGTTAACAAAAGTTCCACCCGTGCGGTATATATATTCATCCCGATTAAACCGGCCCTCCGAGCATCCGTTTGTAACCCACTCGAGCGAGGGCCAAAAGCTATTCAATTACCATCGGGTAGGTACATATATATAGATGTTTCGAGATGAAGGGAAGACTCGTGTACCCCATACCTAAATGCCGCGTCTCCGAATCGGATATCCAAACTAGCCCGAACCGCACGACTCTGATGTGTATGTATTACAGCTATAGTTCAGGAGCGTCGATTACCCATACCCCCGGCAACCTGCCCCTGTCACGTCACACAGGAGGGGGTGGGGTGGATCCCTCGACTCACCCCCGAGTTGTTCGCGCGATTAAGACCGTATACGTTAAAACGCGGGTTGATCAAACGTACCGTACTCGCGCAATATAGGCGTATATAAAACAAAACTCATTAAAAGCGTGCTCCCTGTGCTTTTCAGAAGCGGCGTCTTCCTGGAGCCGTGCCTCAACCACCACCACGGCGGGCAGCCGAGCGGCAACGGGAGCCATCAGGCGTCAGTGACAACGCCGGTCCAGGACAATTCACCGCCACCTCCAACCTTGGATCCACACCGTCGGCTCACCGTCGTCCCCCGGCTACATCACGGACAGGTGGGTCACGTAGTTGCAAAGTCGTGGCGCCGGCAACCCTATGTGGACGCGTCGGGGTGCGCGTGTATGTGTATATTACCCGGTACATCGGGGACCCTCCGAGATATGGGCTCCACGGATACGAGGAGGACACACGCCCTGAATTTACATGCGCGATGGTCTCTCCCCCTCTCCCAATGCATGGTGTATACCTACATGTTTATACCAGACTGATGGTCCAAGGGTGGCTTTTTTGACTCCTCCTCTCTCTTTCTCTCTCTCTCTGTGGCGCTACCATGTTTTCCTAATGGAATATTTATCATGGCATTGGAGTACGTGAGGCAGCGCGTTGTCGGGAATGTATTTTGTATGAATATATATATATTTAATTTTTTACAGTGCAGAGTGTACAACGTCCTGCAAAAGGAATCTTTCAAACAGCCTTGATGCCCGTGGTGTTGTATACGGGCTGTGTGTGTGTGCGTGCGTGGATGGGCCGACGAGCGGAAACTTCATTACGCAAATGAAGGACGTGAGAGAGCAAACTATGTGTACATGGAAATCACATAGAGGCGGGTGTGCGCCTGTGTACAAGCGTTGTTGCGCGTGTGTATTTTAAATAACGCCGATTTCGTGGCAAAATCAGATGTGCCAAACATTTTATCGTAGCAGATGAATTCTTCTTTGTCAATTAATTCCCAAAAATTCCTTGATTGCAACGTGGATGTCATTGCTTCGGAAATAATAAAGATATAGTGTCTTCAAATGGCACCGTAAATTGAGATGGTTAACTATTATTGGCCCCCAGAAATGATGATGATGATGATGATGATGGTCGTAGTATTCAGCACCACAAATTCAAACTGGTGCTTCTTCCAGCCCGAATCTAGATATCTCTTCCTTACCCTCCAACGTCGATCCGCAGGAAATCTCAGCTCGTACAGTCTTCTCCCTATACGCCACGCGTACACGCATGCCCGTACATTGGCCAATTTCCCAAGCACGTCGGGCAAATAGACACAAGAGACACACTACACGTGTATATTCATAAGGTACAACATTTGCACTGATGTAGTCGACGTGTAGCTTTATCACGAGCGCGCGCAGTTACTCTCTCTCGAAAAATCGTATTTCCCTTATCTCTCTTGGCTCCCGTCCCTCGTGATTACTTTTTGTATTGCCCGTGTAAACACATCGGGACGATGCTCGCTCCACCCCCTACCCCCCCACCGCACGTCATCAAAAGATGCCTTATCATCGAGTTTATATTTACTGCAGTGGACTTCTGATTCCTCTCCATGCAACCTTTAGAGTTAGGTATTTTATGGCATACACGCTTGATTATGTTTTCGCTTAGGTGATGTGCAACTTGTTGCTCATTGTTAAAGTCCTCCACAATCGCTGACGTCAATACATGACTAAAAATTAATGTTAAAGAGCATAATGGTGGTGTTGATCGAAATCATCCAAATTGATAAATTTTGTCGATTATTTTGTACTTGTTCGACTAATACGTAAAGTGCAGCATTTCGAATCCGCGACAAAGATGTATTTCGCGTCCTTCACTCATCGCGTTGTCAATTGTTATTTTAAAAAAAATTACGATTCAACAGAGCTACAGTTGAATATTATCATTACTGCTGATGTGCATTTTGTACAGAGGTGATGTGTACGGCAACGAGTACCAAACGTGTTCATCGGTCATAGGCGGAGGGGGTAAAAAAAAAAAAGGGCCCATCGCACGGGCGTTTTAACCAAACGAGCTAAAACCATTCGTCAAAACAAAGGCAGCCGTCATGAGCAAAACGCGCGCTCGATACAAATCAGCCGTTCTCTCGGCTCTAATTTCCATTGTGTGGGTCTTTTCCCTCCCTATACCTATCTCGTTGCCACCCCCGTGTACGAGCAACCATCTTCACCCCCTTCATTTACAAACTAACAATCACAGCTCGTCGCCGTCGTCTACAATCCCAACAGCATCAGCAAAACACGCCTCGATGGCAATCACGATCATCCCCCCCCTACCTCTCGTTGTTGTTGTTTTTTTTTTTTTCATCGTTCACCTGCGTTATAGTGTACACACACATCCATCCCTCAACCCCGTCACGACGGATACACATGCACGCGCTGCATAATTTAATTTGAAATGCAGACTGACGCCGGGCAGTTTGGAGGAATACAGGCCGACTGCACGCGGGATTAAACGCGGCGACGTGCCGTGGGTACGAAGGAGGGAGGGGAGGGCTCGTTGTGTGTATCGGCGTGTATACGTATACACTAATTGCCATCGGGAAGCCGGGGGTGTCCTAATTGCCCGTCACGAGAAACTCACCGCGATTTTTCCATTTCGAAGCTTTGGCCAACGACAAATTGTGGATGCGTACAGGTCTCGGTGCTCTTGCATGTGTATATATGTATACACAGGTTTGGTGGAAGGGATTTTTTTTTTTTTTTTTTTTTTGCCAACGGTGTAGCTGTACGCGGCGACGAGACGCCGGGGACGAATTAAGTTTGGCGTCGCTTGCCTTCGTTATGGAGTTGAGGAGGGGCTAATGGGAAATTGTATCGTTTAAATTCGTCGGACGGACGGAGAGGGCTGGCCGTTTCGGGGTTAAAGTATATATAACGGGGGGGGGTGGACCATAGTTTCGATCGCCCACCCCTTTCGTGTTTTTTTTTTTTTTTTTTTTTTTTTTCGCGAGGGAGTCTATACAGCGGAATTACGTGTCGTAAACATGTTATTACAATGAAAGAGTACGTTACCCTCTTACAAGTACATGCACGAGTTTGTAGATGTCATCAATGGGGTCTCGAATTTTCTCAGTTGTGACCATTTGGTGTCTTTTTCGACAGAATAAGACTTTATTTTTGTTGCTAGCTTGGTAAATTTCAATCGTGTAATTTTTATTTCTGGCACAGCAAATTTGTTACTACCAAATAATTAAAAAAAATTTCAAAATATACCTCATGCGTACAAAAAATATGCATCTTTTTTTAATAACAGTTTTGTACCCACACTTTTGAACCAAAAAATGCAATTCATCGACGGTGGAGCAAATATCCGAACCTTTTTGTTTCTTCTATTTTATTTTATCAAATATTGAATAAAACCCGTGGAGCTTTGCACTCGCAGAGTAAAAGTCAGTGGCAGTACTGTCGAGTAAAACTTGCGAAATCGTCGATTCCGAAAAACAAAATAAAACGGTAAAAAAAAGGCAAAAAGCAGCCACCTATATAACGCACGCCACATAGAGACTACACGCGCTCAGCGTTTTTTCTTCCCCCTAAACAGCGGAGAGCGCTTGAAAAAAAAAAAAAATTCACCGGCATACCGATCGATCCCTGTATCAATCGAACCCACGCCGGCATTATATTACGTACATAGGCGTGTGTACACAATGGCAGTAGGCAGAGGCAGCGTCTCCTACACAAAAGAGCCGCCGGAGCGTTGAATCGCTCGTGTATGTACATATATATATATTTTCAGACTCAAGAGACTGTACTCCTGTGTACAGCCGCGTAGTATACTGTGCATTGAAAATTTTCCATTGTACTCTTTCTTTCAACTCCCCCGGATTATCCTTCACGAAAAATGGTCCGTCCTACCTGCTTACGTGGGTCCATTTCACGACACGTACACCCCCACGATTGCTCAATCGTTTCTAAACGTAGGCGTCCCCGTTCCCCTGCCGCGGAAGGAAATGACTGTATAACATATACATTATCTTATGGCACTTTCAAAAAAAAAAAAATAAATAAATCATCTTTGCTCGTTCCAGGGGCATTAATTGTATTGGTTCAACGAGGACCACCCAATGTCTCTCAGAGACAAGATCTCCCCAAATTGAAAACCTCCCCCCTACACCCCCATAAATCACGTAACAGCCAATGAATTTTTAATAAACGCAGTTTAAAACAAAAAAGTGACGCGTCCAACCGCACTGCCCGTCATACCCACACACTCGACGCGTCCTCTCCAGAGAGAGAGAGAGAGCCAGACATCGGTGCGTCGGATCAAAATTGACATCGTCGGAGGGAGATGTGCGCATCCATTACGCACCGGTGCGGGGCCGTAGATTCGTTTCCGCATTCCCGAGGATCGATCGGTACCACGGGGCCATGGAATACATGGAAATCCGAGCGAGAGCATTGTCCGACTCGGGGAGGCTCGGGATTTGCCGGTCCCGTAGATGCTACGCCTCTTTTGCGGATAACGGAGTTATCGCAACTTGCAGCGATGCGCGGGGTGGGCGACGAGTTCGATTCACGGGACTAAAAACAATCATGACGATCGATGATTTTTCATAGTGGGGTGGGGGGGGGGGTTGTGCGGTCGGGAATGGAGATGTCCTTCGCAAGCGAGTGCCAAAGTGGGTATTATCTTGGCAACAAAATAATAGCCCACAACGAATGATCGCCGCTCGCTTTTTCGGTGTATCGCTACGATCGGCACTAAATCTCAATAAAGAGCATATCCTCTTGGGCAGCGTCGCTCGCTTACGCGTCTCATCTATGCGTGTATACGACAGGGGAGGGATCTTTCGTTAAACGGTGTGTTTGATGGAAAAAAAAAAAAAAAAAAAAAATCTCCGCCGTTACGAGCGCTATTCCCGTAAACAATGAAAAAAAAGGAGGTCAATATCGTCAAGTGTTATATGTACGATGCACGAGTCGTAACATCGCGTAACAGCTTAGAGGCAACTGTATAGATGCTAACAGCTGTGGTTTCGTTTCTGGACAAATGCGTCTTGCTGTAGCAAACTAGAGAATACGAGGGACACAAATGGAAGTGGGAAAGGCGGACTGAGTCACGTATACCATGCGTGTATATAACATGTACACTCTGCTCCGTACACGCGTTTATGTTATCATACGCTCGTTCTTTGTACGATTGGGCTTGATTTTTTTGTTTTTTCGTTCAACGCGATTGATTTTTTTTTTTTTTTTTTTTCTTTGAGAACCGAATCGTAGTGATCGCTCTGGTAATAATTTTACTTTTCCGAAGCCAATGAACTAAAACCCCTCGCTTTCTATACCACCTAGAAGAAAGTTCCATTGGCGGCGTGTTTGCACAGGCCTATATACCATAATCTCGGGACCTAAAAACACGATCGGGAAAAAAGATCCGAGCCCGTGAGTATGAGTCACTGATATGATGTGGCAGCTCAGCGTGCCCGTGTAAATACGTAAAAGTAAACATAAACCCCCACCTCCCCTGTGGTAAATCTTATCTCTACGCTCTCGATCAAACAAACTTTTCAACTTTCTCCCGAAGCAAAGAAGAGGAGCTTTGGTTCGGCAAAATTACCGATTATATTGCCGATTACGCTTTGGGTCGTTCCAACATCCAAAGGTTGAACTTAGTTTTCCCACAAATTAACGAGAAATGATACTCACCAGCAAAAACTTGGGTGTAACAGCATAATATCACAGCAACAAAAATAAATGCACCCTCTTCCACTATCCCACTATTCATAAAAAAGCTAGACCTAACAATAACGCTCTTGTTTTCTGGTTCTCAAATAAAAATAAAATATAAAAAAAAAACCTCTCCTCACCTGCACGAGAGCGATAACATATAATATTCCCCGGAATCCCGCCGAAAACACCTTTTTCCTTCCTAATTTCCGGCAGCGGCCGTATTTTCCACTTCCTGCCCGAGCCAACGACACACTCGGCGAAAATCACCCGATAGCGGCATTACCACGCCTTATCTTCGTGCTCTGCCCCCCCCCCCGTTTCCGTTACCTAATTATACACCGGCGCAAAAAAAAAAAAAAAAGAAAAAGAAAAAAAAAAGTGGAACCAAAATGAAAGTTTGATCGTAGTTTATGGAAGATCGGCTATATTCCTCCGAGGTTTCCTATATTCGTGCACATGTAGGAGCGGGGGAGCGGGAGCAGAGCGCAGGTTTGATAATTCGATACTTTCGCCCTATATGTGTGTACACAGTGGAAGAGCCACGAGTGGAGGATTCCCGGGTACATACAGCTCGATAATAGTCTTTGGGAGGGGAAATGGTGCTCTTGAGAGATCGGCCATTTGGCTCTAGCGTTGAGGACCCTTCGAGTGTGCGTGTATGTGCCTCTGAGGAATAAATACACTTGTTTGACCCGTGTAATGACACGCGTCGTTTGTTTCAATTGTACTTGACGAGCAATGACGATGAGCCAACTGAATGACAGCTAGCCCCATAACTTTTTTTCTTTCATTTAAAGCGCAAATGTTTGTTTGCACGCACGTATTATATGTACACGATGTATGACCACACTCATGTTTATATGTATCGGCGTTTCAGAGCGAGGGCTCGTTATCGTCGGACAACTCTGGAATATCGGCCGGGTCGTCGAGCACGGAAGAGGATTCAGGCGAGTGCAACGGGGCCGGAGGCATGAGAGGCGGTGGTGATGGTGTCGGCAACAACGGGGGTGGCAACGACACCGGCTGCAACATCACCCTCGTCGAGCGCCTGATACGCTCGCATCCGATCTGGTTCCTGCCGGGCATACAACGGGCCGGCGCCTTTCACCTGCTCCAGGGCAAAGAGGAAGGGGTGAGTCCATTGTGGCGTTAACGCGCGCGTGTACGAGAGAGAGTTGTAATTACAGCCGATGGCGCGGTTGGGAAATTTTGATCGACACCCGCGCGAACTTTGACGAGGTGGACTTGGGAAATGTGTTCGCGGTAATTACGCACGGGGTTCGCTTTTGCGGGGGTCTTTTTTTTTTTTTTTTTTTTTTTTTTTTTTTTTTTTTTACGGGTCATATCGGAGGAACGCGGAAATGAAAAAAATTGTCGAGGACAGAGATAATCAATAGCTTGCCCGTAAGCTATGTTTCGATACTTGCGAAAAGGTCAACTTCAATGCACATGTGTGTCGAGATGTTACAAAAGCAAGCACGAAAAGTTGTACTTGGCGCACAGGGTATCAAAAAACAGTTATTTCATGTCAAGCAACACGTAATGAAGATGTACGACGATAATTATACTTTTCAGCACACTTTAATACCAATCGACCAAAAACTCGTGGAACAAGAGTCACATGTCACTTTTTCAGGCGATTCGATAAATGTAACATATTTCATGCTAGATTCATCTACGAGCGCGCACGTGAGTCCGAGAAGAAAGTCCATAAATAGCTAGGCTACCCATAGTCGGTAATCAGATCGATCGCAGCCATATGTACATACTGCACGTACAGCCGATCATGTCCGATCGGCTGTAACGATCTCCCTATTCATCGTCCGAAAGGAAACGATTGCGCAGCACTCTATCGTTCCTCGACGCAAGTGTGTCAATGCCTGAACGCGTGTGTGCACTTTTAAGGCTCGGCTACACGTGTATATATACCTTACATATATGTATATAAGAAAACAGCTGCCGCGTACGATTCTGGCAAAGTTCCGACTAGTGTACACGAATGAAATTAAATCCTCGTGTTGGCGAGCCTGGGTGTCACGTGTACTTGGCAATTAATTAGCGCGAATTGCGCGTTAATGCCCTGGACGATGAATAATATTTCACGTCGCAACGATGAATTATCATCAATTATTCATTTACATGCCAACGTGGGTGGATAAAAATGAAATTATCGAAATCGTAACGTGCGATTACAATGGGAAACGGTGCATTGAAATAGACGACCTTCGCGTACATTCGGCTTAATCAAGCTGATTATGATGCAAAGTGGATTAACGAGCGAGTCGAGATCGAGCAAAGGAGAGACTCCCTTTTGCGTTTCGAGTGGATTTGCTTTATCGGTGCTCTTCGTACGTTACATTTACGCTTTTTCGATTGAAACACGTTGAAATTCGTGCTGCGGTTGATGAATCCTTTTTCGTGTTTCGTGGAGCGAAAATACGTCATAATGAAAGCGGTAATGTGGAAATCGTGTAATGTATTTTTTTTTTTTTTTATTTGCGGAACTGGAAGAAAGGGAGAACTGGTTGGCAAACGGGAGTACGGTGTATTCGTAGACGAAAGAGAGGAGTAAGTAGCGGAGAAATGTTTTAATTAAAATTCCGACTTCGGTAACTGTGGTGTGTGCAGTCTGACGTTTTGTTTCACCACTGTAACAAACGTCGAAACTTTTGACATTAGCGCGAAACACGAGCTCAAAACTTTGAATTAAATTTTTTTTTTTTTTTTTTTTTGTGAAATGTAATATTATGACTAGGCCCATTTGAAAAGACGATTTTATAAAACATTGTTTCTAAATATTTTCTGTGGAAAAATTTGGAACGTAGCCAAATTAAGTCGTAATGCGTTTTGTTGGGAAAAAATCATAACTGTTTGGTACAAAAATGAATAAAAATTTCTATGCTCGTATCAAATAACAAAGTGGTATTAACTTATGCAAACATCTCCCACAGACGTAATTTATGCATAGTATGAACGTAATCGTGATACTTTTTAATCAAAAATTGGATTATTTTAACTACGACTTTTCATTAGACTCAACCCAAATACTTAATGATATATATATTTATAATGAAATACAGTAGTAAAAAAAACTTTTTCTTCATTTTGATCGACGCTCGGTTCTATACGACAGTACCTCCATGACTAATCTGACGTTTAAAAAAAAAAAAACCAAAAATTGGAAACAAAAGTAGGAAAAAAAATCGTAATTCTTTCGTATCCAACTTTTCATTCACGCATATAGTCATCAGACGCGCGTAGGTGCAGCAGCCCCAAGTCAATCAGAGCGCATCGGAGAATGCACCACGCAAAACGGGAGTGGCTTCGAACGCACACCATCAACAATACGACGAGACCGTCGTTGTTCTCCCCTCCCTGACATTGCACACGAGTCCGATACTCGCGATATTGCTCCTCTCCGATGTCGAGTCCACGGAGCGAAAAACAAAGAAGACGAGAGAAAAACAATACCTCGCCGAGAGCAATTACTACTCTGCGTCTTCCTTCCACCTCGTTTTTCTGTATTAAACGGGGCGGGGAGGGGGAGGGTGTGCTGTTTTTTTCCCCCGCGCTCAGACGCACCCCAAAGGTAAAGAGCAGAGATGAGGTGCTTGACGAGAAAAGGAGATTGCAAGGAGTGGGTGTTTGTTCTCTTTTTTCTCCCCTCCTCTCCTACGGCAAGCCAAATGAGTTTTTATCTCGCGACGATGAACAGCGAGACCTTTTTTTTCGATGCTGAAGCCATCATTGAAAAGGTACGATAATCTCTTTTTTTCTTTTTTTATACTGTTACAAAAGCACAGAGGTCCCAGGAAACGCGTCCTCGCGATCAAAATACCGTCCGAGTGAAATCCAACAAACGGCGAAAAGAAAAAAAAAAAAAAAAAAAAAAAAAAAAAAAAAAAAAAAAAAAANAGCCAAATGAGTTTTTATCTCGCGACGATGAACAGCGAGACCTTTTTTTTCGATGCTGAAGCCATCATTGAAAAGGTACGATAATCTCTTTTTTTCTTTTTTTATACTGTTACAAAAGCACAGAGGTCCCAGGAATCTGGACCTCGCGATCAAAATACCGTCCAAAAATAATCCAACAAACGGCGAAAACAAAAAAAAAAAAAAAAAAAAAAAAGGAAAGGAAGAGAGATAAAGAGAGTAGGAGGGCAATTAGCGCTAATCGTCGCCGCGTGCGTACACGCCCGGAAAAAAAAGAAGGGGTGGGTGCCCCGAAGGGAGGGAGAAAGGGGAAAAAAGCGTCCGAATCAAGCGAACGCAAAAGATATATAATTACCCGCTGATCTCTCTCTCTTTTATACATGTATAGATAGACACACTCTCCTCTCTGGGGCTAATAGCCGGTTAATCTCTTCTTTATTCCCGACAGAATTTCGTAGTTCGACAATCGAGCCAGAGCGACACGATGGCGCTGTCGGTAAGGCTGCCGGCCGGCCGGGGACCCTACATCGAGCACTACCTCATCCAGGCCAACAAGGGCAGGCTCAGCCTCGAGACGAGCGAGAATCGCTTCGACAACATACCCTCGCTCATCGCCCATTACTGCTCGTGCTGGTAAGACCCGGCCTTCTTTTATCATCATCACTATTATTATTTTTATTATTATTATTATTATTATTATTATTATTATACATTCGCTCTGCTTTTTCTTACTTTACTTCCTCCCTTTGAGGAGATTCTCCTTTTTGGTTCCTCTATTCGCGCGGGGGCGCAATTTTCTTCGATCAATTTAACTGAAGCGCCTTTTTCCTCCTCCTTTATACCCTTCTTTGTAGTCTTATCGGCAAAGCAATCTTGCACTCGAGTAATGTACCTGCTCCTACCTTTTATGGGTAGAAAATTCGGAAAAAATGGAGTTTCCGACTATCGTGTCTAAAAATAAAATAAAAAAAACTCAACTCCGGTGGGGGAAAAAAAAAAAAAGTGTCTCGCAGAGAGGCGACGACGCGCCTCGTCTTCGTACCTCGGCCGCGTGTACATATATTTTCCCTCTTCCAAACGCGCTCGACTCAATTTGCGATCTCGTTTGTCGATGGGCCGGCACCTTTCTTCAGCGACGAATTGCCGGTGCAGCTGACGCTGCCGCGAGCGATGCGCGAGGCCAAGAATAGACAGCAGCTCTCGTCGCTCGCGCTCTTGGGCCAAGAATTCTGGAGGTACCCGATGGCGAATCCCAAGCCCCCGGAGAGCGTGAGCAGCAGCAGCAACACGTCGAGTCTCAGCAGCTTTCACGGCGGTAAACTTTTTTCTTTTTTTAATTTTCATCATACGTTTATTTCTTGTGCTTTATAGAATTGTTTGTTTTTTCAATTCAAGCGTAGGTGCATGTGCTTTAACGTTATAATGGCAAGGTGAGTGTCAGGGTTGCAGGTGACGAGTGCGACTGGAACTTTCAAATGTGTGTTTCTTCATACCATAATGCACAAGAAGCCGCAATATTTTTACTCTAATACTCGGTGCACTTCAAGCGTTTCGGCAAAATAGAAACTAATTCTTTGGTTCTTCTTTTGTTCAAAAGTTACAAGAAATTTACATTAAATAAAAAACTAAAGTCTTATGTTTATTCTTTGATTTCCGTTCGATAATTTTGAATTACCCACAACTTGCGAACAGAAGCACCATACTATAAAAAAGAAAATCAGCAGAAGTACGTTGCGCCGATTTAAACATATATGGATTGTTGATTATCATTCTCGAACGCAGTGTCAAAGTAGAATGTTGTGGCTTCTTTTATGTTTCGATACGAGTGAACATACCCTGAAGTTCCATCCGAATTTGTGACCCGTATTTCTGACTCTCTTCGATAATTTCTCAATTAAGTTACTCGCATAATCAAAATTTAACTTGACTAGAAGTTTGTTTAATCGTCAATGATGAAAATGCAGGTATCAACAACAACAACAATAACTTGGGCACCCCCATGACTGAGAGCATCGTACTGAATCTTACTCCAATCATACCAAAAGAATCTCGTAAGTTTTTCCTCGTTGGCCAACCTTTATTGTTCATAATTCCATTATTAATAACCATAAACGCACCACCATTTCCAGAAAACACATCACCCAACAACACGATAACAACGTCGACCTTCGCACCCCCGGGACCCCGCCAACCCCGACCAACCCCACCCAACACCTTGAACCTAACAACCTTCAACGAGCCTTTGGAATCCAAGTGCGACATCAACAAACTCTCCCCCCACGATAAACTGTCCCAACGTCTAGTCTCGCCGAACTTGGTCCAAAACCTGGTAAGGTCACCTTCACCCGTAGTCCACAACGTCGATACCAATGTCCTAAGTCCTCCGAGGGACATCAAATGCGAGTTCGTTCGAGGCAGTCACTTCACCTCGAGCAACACTTCCATAACGTCGAATTTTCATCGAAACATCGCCACTGGATTCAACGACCTGAACATCAAGTCACCGGACGTTGTCCAAATTGGAAACCATCTGTTGAAGAGTCCCCCACCACCACCTCCCAGATGGGCCAAGCCCGCGCAGCTTCAGAATCAGAAAAACATCAACGCTACGAGCACAGTCATGCTAAGCGTCAATCAGAACGGTGAAATGAATAACACTGTTCAGGTAAAATTATCGACAGTTTACAAAGTTTGATATGACAATTGAAAAAGTTGGGCAATGGTTACAGGGTTTTCTTTGCTTTCAGTCGACGCCGTCGGATACGCCACTCCTTAGTCCTCAAAGTGCCTCGTCGAACAAGTCCCTGGGCTCAAAATCCTCGTCGGCACAATCGTCGTCCGCGGCAACGCCGGTTCTATCGTCCTCTTCGAAACTCGTTAGCAACGGCACTAGAACGCCACAGGTCATGTCTCCATCAGTACTTTCGAGTACTGGAAAATCGTCGAGACGCAGAAAAGAACGAGACGCGCGCAAGAACTCTCAACACTACCAGGAGTCGGACATCCTGGAGTCGTACTGCAGAAGTTCGCCGGCCGATAAAATATCCGACTACGAGGACATCTGGAACACAAGCGACTTCCCAAACAGGTCGGCCAAAGAGAACCAGAACTACAACGGCGAACAGACGACGAGGAATCACATGAACGAGAACAAGGATAGGATACTGAGTCCAGGTGAAAGTAAGGTGATCAGGGCTGAGCAGCTGGTCGTCCAGACGAACGAGAAACTGATCATCAGGAATGACAAGACGAGCGCGAACGAGAAATTTAGCTATAAGGAAATCACTAGTCCGGAATTCACGAGCTTTAAGCCCCCGCAGGAGTCAAAGAGTCAGGAGACGACGCCGTCACCGGAGGACACGAGGAAACGACCTGATCTTTTGTCAAGAGTTTGTAAGTACCCGGTAAAATAATGAGACGAAGGGTAAAAGTGGTATCTCATGTCATGATCTGATTTGTCTCGCCCACACAGGCAGCGCAAACTCCTTGAACAGCCCACTCAACCTAACGCCTCCGCGTAAGTTCGGCCTGATGGCTGCTGTAACCCGCTCGGAGAGCAACAGTCCCATGACCCCTGACTCGAAGCACAGCAGTCCGTTTTACGCTGAGCCAGCGGATGCGATACCTCGACCGGCTTTGTCGAACGTGGCTCGTCGAAGACCGAAACCCATGAACTCGGTGACCAGCCGATTCCGGCACAGCGAGCCTGGTTGGCTTCAAGCCCAGCTCGCGGGTAATTGTAACCACGCCTCGGCCCTGCACTCGATAGACTGGGACGAGAGCGAGGAGACGGAGGAGAAGACGCCCTTGATCTCGTCATCGGTGGACAATTTGGCCAGAAGACTGAGCGGCAGGGAACCAAAGAAGGGTCTACCCGTGGCGGCCAAGCCCGTCCAGCCGCCCAAGATCAAGCCCAAGATATTCAGTGACACTTCGTGGGCGGTCGACTCCAGCTGGGAGTTTATTGGTGGGTCTTTGACTTATATCTCGTGCCGAGAGGAAGAAGCACATGAGTGTAATTGAACACGGGGATATATCGTTGGAATTGTGGTTTCAGGGAACGATGCGGACAATTGTGAACCAGACTACGACTGTGATACGGACTGCGACGTGGAAAACGTGGGCGGGAAGTTTCCCGATGACGAGCACGACAAGTACATCATACGCAACACTTTGACCGCGCAAAGTATCATTTTACAAAGGTAATTCCTCATAATTGTCTACCAAATTTCAACAGTTTAAAGGTCGTCATTAACGAATGGCTGGATTCCTACAGATACCCAGAACTGCTGAAGTCTCCGGATGCAACGGAGAGCTTGTACAGTGACCGGAACTCGTCGTACGACAACGTCGAAAAACGCCAGGCGAACCACACGAGCACCATGTCAACGAGCTCGACGGCGACCACGACGACGGTATCGTCGATATTGACGACGACAACGGCGATAACGACACTGGATCCACGACGGCCCGTGACGATCGTTGACCGCTGCAACAACTACGTTCCGTCCGAATCCGAGACGATTTTGGATACGGACGCCGAGAGCGATGTCGACAGGATCAAGCGCAACCGCAGCTGCAAGCTGGAACGGCTGTATTCGCTTTTATGTGAGTTGAATTTGAATTTACGTACATCTGCGTGTTTCGTTGGGGGGGGGGGTGAAGTTATGGGTCGATCGAAAACCGAACCATTAATCTTGTGGGTCTCCCCTTCTTCTTCCCGATTTTGGATGAGACGTATCGTGCGCAAGCTGTCGGAACGGACGTGTTTTCGAACTTTGACAATTAAGAAGTTCCGTAGGGAAATAATCATCGTGTTTGTATTACTATTGTGTATATCGTTAGGGATGAGTCGGGCCAACGGATTGGTGGAACTGCGTAAGGAATTTCCTGATTGATTCTCTTGTTTGTTATTGTTTCAAGCTCGAGGCACAAGTAGTTGCGTTGGCTCGATTTTATCGGCAAAGGAGCTGACTGCCCGTTACCAACGAAAGTTGTAAAAGTTATACTTGATGATTCAACTGAGAACTCCTTTGGTTAATTTTTTCCAGAATTTTTTCATAGACATTGCCACAAGACTAAGTAACCATTGCGATGAACTAGGGAAACCACCATGAATTGGAAAGGATTTTACGTTTGAATACCAATAGTGAAAATATAAATTTTTTTTTACAAATATTTTTGCACCCCCTGCCGAGATGAAAATAAATTTGCAACTCATCCTTACTTGTAGTTCAATAGAGATAAGCAAGAAAATTAAATCCACTTATCATTTTTATTATTTAAAACGATCGGAAGATTGTTATCGCATTCTTTCTGCCAAACTTAACGGTCTCGGGTAATAAATTTTTACTAATACTTGGTGGCAATTTGAAACAACGCATAATCGATACTGATAAAATCAGGTGGGTTGTTCAATTTGTATGACCGTTTCACCCCAACAACGGAAAAAGGAAACGACCACTGCTGTTCCATTCCTACGTAGTTACAAGACCATCGGGAACGAAGCTCCGATGTCGATAGGAAAATAATAAAATGGCACGAAAAGATAGAGTCACACGACTTCAGCCCCAGTAATCCCGCGTAAGCTCCCGTGCACGAGGCCGAGTCATGCCGCCATGGGTGACAAGGATAACCTGCTGCTCCCGCAACGAGGCCCCTCGATCCACCTACATAAATCCCCTCTCTGCTTCCATCGACACATCTTTCTCGTGTGTCCATTTGTTTGTCGAGCCACTCGTGCGTGTTCTGTTAATTGAGCGATCGTCGCTCGATAAGTGTGCAATAAACGCGACCGCGTTGTTGCGAGAAAAAAGGTAACCATTACTTTTTTTTCTTTTCCTCCTGATACGACGGACGTGCGAGTGTATAGCTACTGGCTCAGGGAAGATTTGGCGTCTGGTTGTATATGATTGACAAACATGAATCTCCAAGCAAAAGATAATCGAAGCTATTTTCAATCAATCGGACAATTAGAAAAATAATAATACTCATCGCTGGTACTCGAAGGCACACAATCTTCATCCTCCGTTCCGACCAGGCGCAATCACCGATCGATCAAACCTAAAAACCTCGATACATTTTTTCGCTCTCGATCTCACCGAGAAACGCGTCCATTTTCGCGAACCCAATCTCAGATAACTCTCCTTCACTGCATACGTGTATAAAATCCTTTTTTTAAAAAGGGACATCGTAAAGCGCTCAATTACGCGCCGGCTGAATTTTTTTCCCTTTTTCTTTTGCACTCCCTCCGATAACGGCAGCGCTTCGGTAGTCGCGATTTTTCGTTCCCCCCCAAAGCCAACTGCGAATATCTAGGAACTCGGCCTAATCTACTTTTTTTTTTCTTTTTTTTTTTTTTTTTGGCTAAACACGGATACTCTGACACAACGAAGCCCCGAAGCGGTTTTGCATTTACATTGGGATTTACCGATGGTTTTAAAAGGAGGCGAGTAACGAAAAGTAATGCGTCGGCAATTTTTTAGCATAGACATCTCTTTTTTTCACTTTACATTACGATAATCGAAGCTATACCGCATTTATTCAACGTTTTCACCTTAAATCTACATTTAGTTTTCACGGTACCGTAAGATTACTCGATGACGACTCACAGTACCGGCTCTTCCAACCCTCAATAAGATCATCAACGCGTTAGCTATACGCATCGCGTTACCCGTCAACTCGTTAGACTTCGACCCACACCTATCTCTGTTATTATATAGACCACACTCCCATGAGATATCGGAATACACGTAGCGTATCGCAAACAGTGAAATGTATACACCAGCGATTACGAAATCACGGCTCTGATATGTATGTACGGGCTTTGTCATCTAATACTAGTATGTGGAAGTAAATCTAGCGAGCCGCGCCTACTTACAGTTGATAGACACTCGACGGGTGTAAGAAGACACCGATACGGAGTTAACGAAACGATCGTGAGTGTGGCTTGTAAGGTTTTCTTTTTTCACGCTTTCTCGACTCGTTCATCTCATTAGTAAATGTTTCATTAATAGTTTGTATCTTCATAGTTTGTTGAATGTGGGCCAAGATGGCCTATTGTTGAAAAAAAAAAAAAAAAAAAAAAAAAAAAAAAAAAAAAAAAAAAATCATTGCACGTTTGCCTAATCGAAAATTAGGTTGGTAACCGCGAACAAAAAGCGTAACAAAAGTAACAAAGTCAAGTTGATTGTGGAGAAAGAAAACCAAGTGCTCGTCTAGCGTCACGGCTTCTATACCATGCGCTCAATAATCATCGGTTGTAATCGTTGCGATGATTCACGTAGTATCTAGAGTACTAGAGTCTGACCCTGGCCATTTTAACTATATGCGCTGTGGTACGAGGAGCCAGAAACGAGGTCAATCGCTTTAATTGCGCGTTAGAATTTGGATTTTTCTTTTTTTTTTTTTTTTTTTTTTTCATCATACACGGAGAACGCCTGAAAGAAGATTAAGAGATGCATGTAGTCACAAGTACTATAGAGATGCAAACGAGTTTACTTCTTCGGTGTTGCTTATTTGGTTGACTGATACGTTTTTTTCCGTAAAATCTTATCAAAATATTTATGTGCCGTAAAATCATTAAGTACTTTTAGAGGTTGGAGTTTCCCAGTTCGGTCATCCAACGGATAAGTAGGTTTTAATTGACCACTGAATTATTTATTTATCTGCTAATAGTAACCGCGATGATTTTCAAAAAACAACCATACATTACCTAATTGGCGTGTATATAATCTAGTCGTTGGGTTTATTGTTCAATAAAGCTTAATCTGAATTCTTTTTTTTTTTTTTTTTTTTTTTTTTTTCTATTGAATGTCATTTCGTTAAGTAATCTATAGATAGGCCACCAGTGAACAATGGCTTTTGCTGATCGGTGGATAATGCGACGTATTTATTTGTTGAGTGATTATTATTAGACGGAAAAACAAGATACGTACAGAAGATCTTACGATACGAGCTCCGATAGAACATTTTTAATACATGTGTCGTAATTGATAGTAAATTTCATTACACGCACGTATTGTTATTTTATTAATTCAAAAAATTTACCACACAAGTTTACTAGTGAAAAATTATAAGTGTTGGTTGAAGCATAAATTAAACTATCAGTAAAAAAAACGAACCAACTAAGCAGTTGACCAATTATTCTTCATTTTTACAAATAAATGGGTCGTGGGTAAATATGACCGAGTGACGTAAAGTGCGTGAGATTAGTGCGCAATCCAAGTATTATTTTGATTAAAAAAAAACGTATGTTAATTAAGCACTTCACCTTCGCTAAAATAAACAATCCAATAAAATGAAAAATTCAGTTTTCCTAATCAATGAAATTGTTACTCTAATTTTATGCATCAGTCGCAGTATCTATCTTCGTTTATAAATAATTCAAGGTGACATTACAACCGCGTTAATTTATCTTAAAGACTCACGTCACTGGCGAAATTTACCATCCGAATTATTGGGCAGCAAATCACTCGATCAATCTTCAGAGAAAAGAAACGAAAAAAAAAAAAAAAATATTTCCAACCAAGCCCATCCCTCAAAAATGTTATAACCACAAGCAATTAAGATAAGGACGTAAATGATGAAATAATTAGCAAAAAGTCCAACCCCTCTGTGCCATCATCGCCGCCATGCTCCACCGCAGCGAGGCGCAAGGTACAATGGGCCGCTCGTAAATATTACCTGCCCGACAAAGTGCGCATATTAAAAGTTTTGCTGGCCATGGGGAAAGGATCCTCGTCCCGCCACCCACCCACACAGAGTTGGCTTTTCGTGCTCCCATTCACGGTAATCCCTTCGCAAGCCCTTGACACTCGAAGCTTAGGTACCTCTCTTGTGTCTATTGCCTGCTAGGCTTGGATATGCGCGTCTGTTTTATATACATTAGACCCGCAATTCTCGTTCGTGGGGATGACGGTAAATCTCCCCGATGGGCTTTTAATTGATACCATTCATTTACAAATTTGAATGGACAAATGGACCGTTTATGCGTGCTTCCCGTGTGTCCAATTATCTTCGAAAGACAATGGCACGATTAATTTTTTATTTTAATGTCACCTTTTCCCAAAGTTACGTCAATTTGAAACGAAACTACAATCATGTATACACAAAGTCTATTTCAAACAAAAAGCTTTCGATTATTACTGACTGTTGCATTTTTTTGTGCTAATAAAGCTAACACTTTAATAACGAAGGCAAGAGTAATCTCAGCAGAGCATCTCATGTCATTGTACACATTTTTATGTGAAACTTAAACTTGATTTAGATATAGCTGGACTCGTTATGAATCATCAAGAGATCGCATGATCCACTTGTATATTATTTCACTTGCCCTTCTTACCTTAACAATAATATCGTGTGTCAGTCACGTGGACGATGTAAGTTTATTCTCATTTCGAATGTATGATTTTCAATTTTCATTTTGATCCATAGTTTTTAATTAAATTGGTTTTGCTCAATAATGACTGGGAAAAATTGCACTCATAAAATTTATGCAGCTCACTCCGGAGATATTTTTTATTTTTTTATTTTAATTTTTTTTTTTTTTTTTTNCGTCAAAATACTTTAGTCTTGAGTGATAAAGACTAATTCTTGACAGAAATTAAAAATAAATTTTACCTAATTAATTTTTTTAGATTTTTTTTTAATGCAGGATTTGAAAAAAAGTGCGAAGTTAAAGATACTAACGATTTAGTAAATAATTGAAAAAAAACAAAAGACAAAACAATGACTATTACACTTGAACTTGCTGCTTGGAAAAGTTACGAGCCGCTCGATGTTTTCATAGGCGATCGCAAAATACACTGCATTGCTTTGTTTGGTAGGATAGGATAAGTAAGTGCGTTAAAACGGCACGTCACGCAATTACGAAAGGATGAGCAATTTCGCTGATTAGAGAGAATGGCACTAGCGCTTGCCGATCTCGTTTCAACTGTATTCACCCGATCGCTTCCAACACGTAATATCGTTTGTGTTTTCATCAGCCATGTTTTCATTTGACGTTCGAAGTTTTTCTATTTTTTTTTCCCCCTCAAAAATAGGTACTTGCATGGAATGTTAAGTATGTGCAGTTTTTTAATGGCTATTCTATATTATAATGCGCATTAAGAGAACAAAAGTAAAAATTATTTCATGTCGTATGTAAATAAATTGCCCATGAGAACACGCACTTTGATAAAAGTTAATTAAAAAAGTGTATTGATGTTTTCTCACTTTCGACGATTAATGAAATTACACATGATTTTGCATCATCTCGGATATAACTTAGATCAATGTGATTCACGATCAAATAGTGTTATGAAAGTACCTCTTAACAATCATGACGTTCAAGTGACGAGAAATAGTTGGCTGGGGATGAAAACATTTATCTCTCACGGATGGATCTTGAACGAATAGCATTTTGCAAGTTTTTCGAGATAACAATAACAAAATTGTCGATGTTATACATATTACGGTGATGCAAAAACTTATTCAAATTTACGATCATCTATGGAACTATGGTCATTGAAAAACAATATTTTTTCTGGATAGGTGAGTGCTTAAACCATCAACTACAATTGTCAATAAATCATAAAACACATGATTAAATATCCACTATTATCTCAAAGGTAGAAAAAAAAAACACTTGAGCTCTTGGCCAATAATTACTTAAAGATCCGTATCTACAACAGACAAACACACAAGTATATACTGCGATTTCGACCCTTTCCTCCTGTCAATCGCTGTGCCGACTCATGAAAAATCTGTTTACTCGAAAAAAACCTGCACCGCAGCCCTAAGAGAGAAACCTGAAATAAACGGTGTATTTGCACGGGTGACTTGGCAATCGCGTGATATATGGAGATGTGCATGCGAGACGGTCTCCAGAGATGATCAAGATATATCCGGTTGCGCGATTACAACGAATGCGATGGGGCGTAATCGATCGATAAGATTAACCGTCCAATCGCCGGCCATTGTCACGCATGTGTCCCACGCGACTGCTCAATGGCTAGCGCATGATGGCTTCCATGTTGTTTTTTTTGCTCCAGTTTAATGCGATGCCTTTTTTTCTTCCAACTTCTCGTTGAACAGTACATACCTTCTCTGATAAACATCAGCTTGAGGTCAACGTATTTTACTTTTTTTTCTTTTTTTTTCTTTTTTTTTTAAAAATAACAGATGAAATCCCGCGTTGTTTTTCGTATTGTAAACGACCGATTCCTTACCCCCTTAGTCGATAACTACCCTTAATTTGTACAATGATGAAGATTACCGTTATTTTTTTTTTTTTTTTTTTTTTTTTTTTTTTTTTTTTNTTTTTTTTTTTTTTTTTTTTTTTTTTTTTTTTTTTTTTTTTTTAGCGTATAGACGAGTGCTCGTACGCGCGTGTACGAATGACAGATACGAACTCATCTTGATCGTCTAATCAGATTTTTAAATATTCTTACATCCATACGCACAGAGACACACGAGTAAGGAGCGAAAGTGTAAAAAACAAGTTTGCTAGTCAACGTTCCCACAAATGTTTGTCAAAAGTCCGACAATTTCCGTAAACGAGGACGCAACGCGAATAACCGATTCCCGGAAATCGGCAGCGATATCTTTGTTTACGACAATTCTTTTGCACTAAAGAAAAAAAAAAAATTACAAAAGTTACTGTACTAGAACGGTAATTAAAGATCATTCCGTCATTTGAGGACTTTATCCTGTTGGCAAGATAGTTTTTGCCATTTAATCGCTGGACGCTAATTTCTACTGTTCCAGCAGAAAAATTTCTACTTTTATCAGTGAAAAAAAAAAAAAAAAAAAAAAGTATAAAAATAGTAAAAAGTCTCTACGGAACGGGGTAGTAGTACCGCGTTACCAATCGGTAATTGTAAGTGTACTTTACATTAAGAAAAATTCCTTTGCTACTGAAACTATTTTATCTCGTTTAAAATTGAAAAAAAAAAAAAAATACCTGTTCATCGATAAAAGTAATTAAGTCTAACAATCATCTTACGGTCTCTCTTTCAGGCACTCGAACCCCCTTCGATTCCCTTTATTTCCCTCTCCCCTGTCTGCGGCAGATAACAAGAAAGGCCCGCACACCTAGCTGATACGTACATATTCGAGCCGCGCGAGCCGTGGGACTTCAGTACGTAATCTTCCTCGGCTGGTGCTACGACACGCGCTCGCTCGCGTTCCCAATACTTCTTCCCTTGACGCATTGCCTGCCCAACCGAGAGTAGAAAAATTAGTTGGCAGCAAAAAAATTCAAAGCGGTGTAAGGACTTTGATTGAGAAACCTGTCACTCGTGCGTGGCAATCTCATCGAAAAAAAAAAAGAAAAAAAGGAAGAAAGCATTGTCGAGCAAAAGTGCACGATCAGCCTGTTCACCTATGAAGAAAACCAACCCGGGAAGTAGTGGTTGCCCCGCAGTAGCTGCTACGAAGAAGCTGGCCGTAAAACTGGCACCCAAGGCCGCTGCCGAGTACAGGCGCGACCTTTTGGGCACGGGGGGCCGGTTCACGTCGATGGAGCGGGGACAGATCCACCAGCTCGCGAGGTACCTCCTCGCCGTCGACAGCTGCGGGTGCTTGGACCTCGTCGTCGCGCCGTGAATCCTACGAGGTGGTCGGGAAGCGAAAAAAAAAATTGTCGTGCGGGAGATCGGTAAACTCGCGGCTTGGCGCGGCGTGGGAGAGTAAAAACGATTTTCGAGACGATTCTCCCTTTTTTCGTTTCTTCGAGAGACCTCGCCACATAAGGATTCCATTTTTTTCATCCATTTCATCCGAGCTGTTTTGAGGCGAGATCGGTAGTAGTTGGGTGGTTGACCGGAACTATGGATGTTTTCGTGTACGTCGACGTTGACTCGGTCGTCGTGAAATACGAGTGCGACAACTATTGCATGCATTCACCCGTGGCAGTTAAAAACGCGAGAAACAAGTCGAGGAGCGCCAAGATGTCCCAAAAGACAGCCAAGGACATCGAAATGTCCGAACAGACCGGGAAAAGGAAGAGCGTCGGGGACGTCAAGTTTGCGATCAAGACGAAGCTCTTTTTCGTGAAACTTAGGGAATGGTTCCTCGAGAAGAAGGCCAAGTTGCGCGAAAAGATCAACAAAATGAGTGAGTATAGCGGACGCGGGCAATATCTGCTGAATGAGCGACAACGTCGTGTTTGATGGCAAATTGACGAGTTCAATGAAAAAAGAATTTATTCCCCAAAATGTGTTTGGGCAGGATACTCGATGAGTAAATTGTTTATTAAATTGAAATATTCCAATCATCGTGTACTTTTATCGTACCCTGTAATTTACTTATCGAGATCGCGGAATTTTTTGTTTTCTTTCTTTCAACTTCATCGTCAAATCCAAGCAGTACCTGATAAAACCAAGTAGTCGCAATTTAAGGATTACCTCTGATCACCTTTAGCACTCTGTAGGACCAGATAGGGTACACCTATAAATTGCGTATACAATCGTCTCATCCACTCCTCCGACCCTCTTCTCATTGCCTTTGCCAATAGCATGACAATAATAATTGGAATTTTCACGTTTTCCAGCTCCACCTCGGCTGAACGTGCTGAAGCGTAACGGCGATAATGGCTCGAGTGCCGTTGGCTCGACCATACGATCCTACGCGCTGCAGTTGGCCGCCGATAAATCGACGACCTTCTCGCAAAACATCGAGAACTTCATTCAGTGCACGAAGGAGAGCAAGGAGGCCTCGCCCCAGGTCGTCATGCGCAACATGCGGCAATTCATGTCCGGCATGAAGAACTACTTGGTAAAAGTTTACGCTCTTTTTTTTTATTAAGAACAGTGACTATACGGGTATAAGGTATAACCAAGTTTCGAAAACGCGATGTCCCAGGTGAAGCACGGCGAGCGTGAATTCGAGAAGGAGGTCGAGAAGGAGCGCCTCAAGCTCAAAGCCAACGAGTTCCTCAATCTCGACCACATCCTCGAGGACGTGATGATGCACCTTGTGGTGAGGCCGCTGCGCGAGCACGTCTACCGGCTCTTCGTCGAGAACTACATGGCGGACGGCTCGATACCGATGCTGGCTGACAGCATCAAACTCGCTCAGTCCAAGAACATGTACGACTTTGGCGTCCAGGTGAGTTTTGGCAGTGAACACGAAATTTTTTCCTCATAAAAAAAAAAAAAAACAGATTGCTCCATTTACTTGACTCGCACGCTTAGATCGATTAGACACGCTCATCATACCAATAACAGCACAAGTGTTGTCATTGCGACGAGGAAAATGGTGTGTGAAACTGATTTTTTTATTCTTTCAGCAAAAAATCTTGCCACCCACGGAAGCGAGCTTGGAGCGTATCCTGAAGATCATGCAAACGTTGCAAAAAGCCGACTCACCGCTTGAAAAACTTGATAATCTACTAATCGCAATCTCTACTATTTATAATTCAGTGAGTATGCATTTTTTGGCTCGTTGTTGTTATCAATAGATGAAAAAAAAAAAAAAAAAAAAATGCTATCGATATCGGTGATCTGTTGATACGAGGGAATTGAAACTCCAAACTTACCAAGCGATGAACGAACAAACAAAAATCCCCAGATCGGTGTATCGATTTTTCATTCATTATTTTTTGCAGGTAAGACACGCCAACTCGAACAAAATGGTAATAATGGGCGCTGACGACCTGCTGCCTCTGATTATCTGGATTTTGGCGCGCGGAAAGTTTGTGGATGCGGAAATCGAGTCGGAGTTCATGTGGGGCCTTATACACCCGTCCCTTTTAACAGGCGAGGGTGGCTACTATCTCACGACCCTTTCGAGCGCCGTGCAGATACTCAAAGGCCTGAAATCTAGTCAGGGGACCATGTCGACGATAAACGTAAGCGAGGAGCAGAATGATAATAAAAAAGGATCTTTATAAATTCTTGACGATGGACTACCTGACGTTTGTTAATCGAAACGTTAATGGGCTTTTTTTCCTCTTTAAAGTCACTTATTATTGTCACGATTTTTTAATTAATTGCTTTCTACGTGACGAAAAGGCTGTCAGTTTTTAGGAAATTTCATCCTTGGTTAACTAAATTTTCGTAGTCTAATAACATTTTCTTAAAATTAACTCAACTCCACGATGAGTGTATTGTGACGAGCAAAGCATACAAGCTCTATGTATTAAAATGTGATGATATTAAAATAAAATTTACAATTAATCTTTAGATATGGTTGACACAAAGTTGGCGATACAAAAGTTAAATATACTTAACAATTGTTTGAGTATGTCTTAAAAAGAAGTATGTAATGAAAGCAGATCAAATTGTGCAACAATTAAAAAATTTTCGACAAACATATTGAACCCACATTACTATTCTGATCCTTAACAGCATATTGTGAAATTTGTTCTAAAACCTTGCAATTTGAAATAAATGTAACATATCCAAAAGGAAGATTCACCACAGAATTATAACATTGAATTCAAAGATTTACAAACGAAAATAGTTGTAAGAAGAGTTTTATCAAGTAAATTTGTTCAGTAGAAAAATATTCAAATCAGTAAATATCCCCAAAATCAGATTATTATTATATGCAAATCAATTTCGTTAACTGATCTGTGGATTAAGTTAATTGCTCTAAAATAAACAAGATCATGTTAGATGAAAACAGTTCATATATTTTTTTAAATAAAAAGTAATAAAAAAAAATAAGGACGCACACAATTTTACACAACTAGTTATTCATAAAATTACTTTTAATACAAAATTTAATAAAATTTTAGCTTGACGGTCTATAAGAAATTTTTTTTATTTTTATCCAGGGATGTGGAACACCGGATTGTTCTTCCGTTCTGCGAATTCTCGTTCCAGACGAATTACATGGTTCTCTTAATACACGAACACTGCCAGTCCGACCGAACATGAATACTCGTGATATATGCCGTATTCTTGCCCACAAGATAAGATGCACGAATCCTCAAGATTACGGCCTCTTCAAGCTCGTTCAAGGAGAAGGTAAATAAACGATTTTTATTTAACTCATCGTAAATACGATTGAATTGAGTATCATGACACTACGGGAAATATTTTGCGTTTTTTTACAACAGAAACTCTACTCGGAGATCAGGAGTGTCCACAGGACATGTTGCACTGTTTGTTCGCATACAAACGAATCGATGCAAAGATCGCCTGGCCAAAGACAGCTAACCCAACGACCCCGACACTGAACAATGGCAATCACTCCTGATCACGTTCGCTATCGCGACGAGTCGCGAAGATCTTGTCCATAAATCTGTATTAACTGCGAAACTTATTATTTTACTATTATTCGTAATACGTGTATAGACTGCTGTAAGAAACTAAGAAACAAATAGTATACTCTTCGTTGTACTCTTTTATAAATGAAACATAAAATGATTGTAAAAAGTTAATATCGTGCGTATTTTTCACTCGACTTTGATTACTATTCAATATATTTAATGCATATTTAACAGTAATATGCTAGTGATAATGTGCAATAAAAAAGATGTGCAAAAAAGATTGTGTACTAAATTCTATCAATCCACCAACTTATTACATTATGTGGTATTTTTTTTCAATTACAACGTAACTGTGCAAACATCTTTGGGTATAAAATTTGGAATGTGATGACATATTTGATAAAAGAAATTATTTAAATCAATTATGACTGAATAAAAAATTTTTCATGTATATAATTAATAATATTTTTTTACTTCTATAGAGGGTAAAAAAAGGGTTATTAAAAAAACAGAGCATCGCCATAATTTTCTATGTAGTTTCATAATAAGTGTATCATAATAAAAGGGATTAGATTCAACATTTAGGAGTAGGGACATTACAGCTGTAATTTTACAATGTCTTGTTCGTAAATAAAAACAACGAAAATTAAAAAAAAGTGTTTGATGAATTATCCTTGCTCGTATGATTTTTTATACGGTCCAATAATAAACATTTGTGATGATTGAAATGACGACTATTTTCAAGTTTTGTCCATGTTCAGTGTGACAGCGTAATGACTGATCGGCCAGTTATTAAACTGAATGACAAAATTGAATATGAAAAATGGTTTTAAACATTAGTCATTTGAATTAGCTATACATCACATTCCACAAAAAACGATTTATTAAAACATAAGCAAAAGTAACTTAATAAATTTTGTTGTAACGGATGTAAAAAAAATAATTGTAGAATAAATTTGGTCAATATATGAATAAAAAAATTAACAAATATTTTTAGATTATGTTGTTCGATTACAAATCATACGATGCGATTAAAACAAAAGTAAAATACTATAATATTTTTATAGTTAATGTGTAATTGAAAATTTTTTACATCGTATAATGAAAACAATAAAAAAATTCTTGAAAAAATAAGAATAATTATCATAAAACCCATAATACATACTTTAAATCGAAGTCAAGACAATCAAATGATTAATTAAAATTAAAAACTGACAGATTACTGCAGACTTAATTGTTATAAATATTTAATTTCTAAAAAATTTGACTTGATTCTAAGCTGTATACCTTTACTTTTAATAAATTATAAAAAATATGGTGATTCTACCATAATTTCTAAAAGCCACCCTTTACAAATATCAGATCTCGTGACGAAATCAATTAGTATAAAAAAAATGTAGTGGCAATGAAATTTTTGTTTTTCGTTCTTGAAGAAAAACATACTGACTAATTTCATCCAGAATGTCGTATGCAGTTGATAACTTTGTCATGTAGTTGTTTAAAATTTTGTCACATATAAAGACTTTCAATTTTTTGCAATCAAAAGACCAAGCAATTTGTTTACTAATGATAGTGTAGAGTTAAAAAAACCAGTATTAGTATTACTAAGAATTAAATTATAAGAATAAAATAGTATAAATTCATTTAAATAAAACAGCTGATAATTTCTTACGTTACATGTATATCGAGTGCAAATATTAGAATTTTTTACTGCCACCTGTGGTATGTATTAACCTGCTTTAATCTAACATTGTAGCTCATGCGTAGAGAGTAATAGTAAACTACTTCAAATTCAGATAGGTTAAAAAAAGTTTTTTTCTAAGCCAAGTTTAATGTACAAATACTACTGATGTATCTCATGAAGATTTATACTTTGATGTAAATTATCTCGGGTTGTGACTGAAAATTGTATACTACTTTTACTGGAAGCATTTCCCGTTGACAAAGTGTTATAACACGTTCTTTAGAGACAGGTAAACCATTTTTTTATAAAAAATAAAAATAAAAAAAAAAGA